AGTGCTTCAAGTCCTCCTCACTGTCAGTGAGCAAGGTCATGTCATCTGCATCGCAAAGGTTAATGCACATTAATCCTGATGGCATATTCTTCTTCACATAATCCAGTTTCTCTGATTTGCTTAGCATACAGATCAATTCAGTACGGTGAAAGGATACAACCTTGACACTTCTTTCCTGATTTCAAACCATTCCCTCATTCCCTCTTGATCCATGTCCAAGTGCTGCTTGAACACAGTGAAGCGTTCTGGAATTCCCATTCTTCTCAAGGCCAACCGTAGTTTGTTGAGGTCCACACAGTCAAATGACTTTGCATAGTCAATAAAACACAAGTAAACATCTTTCTGGTATTCTCTGCTTTCAGCCAAGATATGTCTTACATCAGCAATGATATTCTTTGTTTCATGACCTCTTCTGAATCTAGCCTGAACCTCTAGCAGCTCCCTGTCAGTGTACTATGCAACCATTGTTGGGTAATCTTCAGCAAAATTTTATTTATTTGTGATATTAATGATGGTGTTCTATAAGTTCCGCATTCTGCTGGGTCACCTTGGAATGGGTACAAATATGGATCTCTTCCAGTCAGTTGGCCAAGTAGCTCTCTTCCAAATTTCCCAGCATAGATGGCTAAGTGCTTCCAGTGCTTCATCAGCTGTTGAAATGTTTCAGTTGGTAGTCTATCAATTCCTGGAGCCTTTAATTTAGCTAATGCTTTCAGTATGGTTTGAACTTCTTCCTGCAGGACCACAGTTCTTGCTCATATGATACCTCTTGAAATGGTTGAATCTCCACTAGTTCCTTTTGGTACATTAATTCTGTGTATTCTTTGGATCTTCTTTTGCTGCTTCCCACATGATTCAATATGGAATTTTTCATATTGAATTATTTTCCAACTACTGTTCCTTTCTGTGTTTCCCATATTTGCATTCCAATTGCATCTTAATTGCATTGTTTTATCAATTTCAGACTGAAGGTGTTGGTAGAATTCTTCCATTTCTGCATCACCAGCTTTAGTGGTTTGTGCATAAATTTGAATAATTGCTTTCTTGACTGAATTTTCTTGTATGCTGGTAGAAATTATAATAGACAGCATCTTCAAGATGGGTCTTGAAATGTCCTTTTTGATAATGAGTGCAACGCTACTCCTCTTGATTATATCACTTCCATATCATTTTATTTTTCAAAATGGCAAATACCAGACCATTTCAGCTCAATAGCGCCTAGAATATTGATCTTTATGTATTCTATTTCATGTTTGACAACTTCCAATTTCCCTAGATTCATACTTCATACAATCCAATTATTAGATTTTTGCAGCTGTTTCATCTCATTTTGAGTCATGCTCTTCAGCAAATGAAGGTCTTGTAGTCTTTACTCCCAACAGAATTTAACCTATTTATGTCATTGTAGTTGACTTTACTTCGAGAAGGCAGCTCTTCCTCCATCATATTTTGAGTGCCTTCTGACATGAGGGGCTCATCTTCTGGCACTATGTCTGACAATGTTCTGCTTCTTTAGATTTTCAGTAATTATCCATTGAGTTTTCGGTGACTAATTCCTCTGTTAGTGTGTTAGACTAGAGAAACAAATCCATAGCCACTCATATATATGTATAAGAAAGAGGTTTATTTACAAGAGCAATTGAATATTGAGAAAACATCCCAGCCCAGTCCAGATCAAGTCCAT